ATGTTGGGTTTGAAGGGGGAATTTAGTCTCACATTACTTATAGATATGACATGTATTGTGTTTATAAGTGGGGACAATTATCATTTTACAAGTTGATTTTGTAAGGAAGAGTTAAGCTCAATCTAAATTATGAGAAATTTTCATATGTAAGTTTAGTTAAATAAAACCGAATTCCTTTTTAATGGTTGATTTAAGGTCAAATATAAATATTATGCATTACTACTATATATGATGATGTTTGAAGACAATATGGATCTCATAAGGGTGGTCCTGAAACACAAGCAAGGTTTAAAATCTATGGATGCAAGTATGTTGTGTAAATTCAAGTAGTTTTTTATTTCACCAAAAAATTTTGTTTTTGAAAATTTTGCTTTCATGGTTTGGGAGTTACTGAGTTTGTGCTCTCTTAGCATGTAACATATTATTAAGTACTGCAACACACACCTTAGAGTTAGTGTGCAAAAAGAGATAGACAATGCTTGGTGATTGTTAAATAATGGATATCTGGTTGTTTTAATGGGTTCTGAGTGATTTTTAAATAATATGTAGAGATGTAACATTAAACTATTATGGTGTGTTTGTCTAATAAAAGTTAGCTTCTACATCTCAATTGTCTTCGCCTCATTCTATGGTTATTAGTTTGAAATAACATAATCACCCTAAAAGCATATTATTCGATATATTCTTCCTAAACATTTCACAAAAATAAAATAAAAAACCAAATTTGATGCAATTGTAAAAATGTTAAATTAATAATTTAGTGTTGTTGTTTGATCTCGGCTCGTGGGAAATACAAGAGATGAAGTTGATATACAATAATATTTGAGTTTTTTTGGTGTAACCTAATTTTCTATCGATTTTATCCCTCTATAACATATATGAAGGCAAACTTTGATTTTTGGTGTAGCCTAATTTTTTACCGATTTTATCTTTATTTTAAAAAAATGTGTAACTTACACAATATTTCCATTGAACAACTATTATCATCTTTCACATAACTTCTTGATAATTACTTCCTACATGACTTTCATTTAAAATTAACATTAAGTAAAAAATATCATTTATATTTTTACGTGTACGGATTAAAAAAACGGACAAACGGACACGTGAGTGGCTATCCGGACGCTAGTAACATATAAAATAAATTTATTGGTACTGACACACGTATATTAATAGTTCATTATACAATATATATATATGACTAAGTGGGACCCACATGCCTTATAATACCAAACATATGGAATTTAACCCAATAATTCATATTCATGATCAACCTATAAAGCACGAACACCTCCAGGAGTAGACGTGTCATTGTGTCCGACACTTGTATGACATCCGTACGACACATGTCGAAAAAGTTAAAGAAGTGTCGGAAAAGTCATACGAGTGTCCACTAAAAAATGTTTTTTTTCCTTTGTTTTCGAATCAATAGTCGACACTCGTATGACACTCATAACATATATGTAAGACAATTTAGACAAGTGTTTCAAACAAAAATTTAATTTTTTTTCTTTGTTTTAATACACTTTTGTATAAATCTCACACAAATTTTAAATTGTAGTACGTGTATTTAATAAATTTTATAAATAAAAAATTAAAGACGTTAATTTTTATTAGAATATTTTCAATTTTTTAAATTATAAATGGATAAATAAAGTTGAAATACTGTATTATATATCGAGGTGTCGTAATCCTATGTTTTGATATTATCGGCGTCGAAATATCCGTGTCGTATCTCAGTATCCGTGTCAGAGTCTATGCTTCGTAGGGATCAACCACCTCAAGCAAAGTCCTGATATATTGGATTCAACTCAAGTTGCTTGCTATTTTCTCTAAGATATGTTTCAAAAGTTTTGCTGGCTCTTGTTTCTTTAATTCCACTGCACCTTTTTCTTTGGCTAAATCAGCAAAAGCATTTTCATAATAAACCTTAACTTCATTGCTACCATCATATAATGGTAAACCCAATTCCTTAGTGTTTTTCTTAAGGAAGCTCCTTACTATTTCCATGCTTCCTAAACCATCCTTTGCATTGAGTTTTTCTTGTAATGCCTTCTCTATAAAGCTCTTTAACTCCTTTTCATTACCCGATAGCTGCAATATTGTCCACAACATAAGTGATTAATAAGACTTGGAACGTAATATTTTTTAAAATAATCTATGAAAATACCTGTCTTATCTTATATCCATTTATGATTTGGATATTGCGAATGAAAGCAAAATTCTTTTTGGAAAGTTCCATCTTAAGTGAAAATAATTATGGTACTACTTTTTTAAATAACAAATCAATTCTTTAATAATTATTATATATTGTCATATGACACATAACATTTTTAACATTTTTACGCATGAGCTTTTGTATTCTTCTTAAAAGATATACTATTTTAGATATTAGAAAATCAAAAGTATCAAAGACAAATGATATGAAAATATTTTGATTGTTAGAACATGATTTTTCGTGCTTGATCATTTTACTTAAAGCAGTTTTAAGAGTTGTCTGGTCCACAGTTAACCTCTAGTCCTCGGTCTCACCACTGAGTGTCATATCTTAAATTTTGTCTCTTGCCATTTCATTCTACATCATGACATTTGCATATCATTGCATCTCATTGGCATATCCTAAATGTCAACTTCGTTGGCAAAGGTATATGGGACGCTATCCAAAATGATCCAAATGAAGTAACTACGAACAATGCGGAAGGTGTTATTGTATCCGAACCGGAAGCACAATGGGATGCTGATGATTGGAAAGTGAAAAACATCCTCACTTCCGCTTTAGGAGTTAATGAGTTTTATCGTATTTCTCATTGTGAGACTGCCAAGGCTATGTGGGACGCATTAGAGATTGTGCATAAGGGTACTAATAATGTCAAACAAGGTAGAATCAACACATTGAATCAAGAGTTTGAGTTGTTCCGTATTGAGCATGCTAAAACCATTGCGAATATGCGAAAATGGATCCCTCATCTCATAAATCGGTTAAATACACTAGGTAATCATGTTTCCAATGAACATGCTACTAACAAAATTTTGAGATGTTTAAGTAGGGAATGACAGCCCAAGATCACTACCATCAAAGAGGCAAATGATCTTAAGTCGCTTGATCTTACAGCTTTGTTTGGTAGGTTGGAGGAGCATGAGTAAAAGCTTAATTGCTTAGCAAAATAGGAGAATGAATATGAAAACAGAATGAAGAATGAGAAAAGGTAAGACAAAGAGGAAGGCAAGAAGTCCATAGCTCTGAAGACTTCTAACTCAAGGCCTTCATATTGTGAACATTGTGGTAGTGAGAGTGATGATGATAAGAATTCTTGTGAGGAAGATATGGGGTTGTTCAAAAGGAGACATCAAAGGTATATAAGGAAGAACGGTGTTAAAACGTTTGATAAGAACATAGCCAAGTTTAGAAGGTTAATAAGTTCTTCTAAGGATGATGAAAATGCAAAGAGCAAACTTAGAAGATCTTGCTATCATTGTGGTGAAATTGGTCATTATAGACCAAAATGTCCCATGAGAATGAAAGATAAAGAAATGAGTCATTACAAGTCCTCTAGAAAGATAAAGAGATGATGAAATTACAAGTCCTCTAGTGATAAAAACACAACTTCAAGTATGGAATCGGCTCGAATTTGTCTCATGGCAAAAAGGAAGAAAAAGAAGAATGTTGAATGTCTTAACTCTATCGAAAATATGTGGTATCTCGATAGTGGATGTTCAAGACACATGACGGGTGGCATATCCCTCTTCATTGACTTCGTGCCAAAGATAAAGAGATTTGTCACATATGGAGATAACAACAAAGGTGCTATACTTGGAAAAGGTAGTGTAGGTAATCCCACATCTACTACTATCTCTGATGTAGTGCTAGTTGATGGACTTAAACACAACCTTTTAAGCATAAGTCAACTATGTGACAAAGGTTTTAACGTAACTTTTACAAAAAACTTGTTGCTTGTTTGTGCATGATGAAAAGAAAGAATGTGTGTTTAAAGGTGTGAGGGTAAATAATACTAATATGCTAAATCTAGATGAAGTTTCTTTGGGTGGAACTAAGTGTCTAGCCACCATGAGTGAAAACTCTTAGTTGTGGCATAGACGCCTAACCCGTTTTAACTTTGACCTATTGAACAAATTATTCTCGAAAGATTTAGTAATTGGTCTGCCTAAACTAAAGTTCACTAAAGATCATTTATTTGAGGCTTGTCAAAAAGGGAAGCAAACAAGAACTTCTTTTAAATCGAAAAACCTTATTTCTACCTATAGACCTCTTGAACTTCTCCACATAAACCTCTTTGGTCCCTCTAGAACCAAGAGTATATGTGAAAATTACTATGTCTTTGTTATTGTAGACGATTACTCTAAATTTTGTTGGGTCTTGTTCTTGTCAAATAAAGATGAAATTTTTCTGATATTTAAGCAATTTGCTAGATTATTTCAAAATAAAATAAATTTGAGAATCGTTTCCATTTAAAGTGATCACGGAGGACAATACCAAACACATTGAAATAAATCGTCGTTTTATAAAAGAGAAATTATATGTCGCTATTAAATATTTCCCATTTGTAGCTTCAAGTTAACAAACTAGTCTTCCTCGTCAAAAGTTTGGCTATATGAAACTCTAATCTCTCTATTTATACCCGCCATTATAGGAAATAAAATAAAAAAATTATTCCCTATTTTCCAAACATAGATATTAGCAAGTTATTTATTGAAACTTGAAAGCATCCTATGGATTAAAACATTTTCATTCAAGATAAATCAATAAACACAAAAACCATTTACAAAGTTAACAACATATGTTCCAAACATGTTTCTAGGAGAATTTGTTTCCTTTAAGGCCTATTTGCTATCCTAATTCCTAGCTCTCAATTTTCACAGTTAAACCAATTAGATTAGCTCAACAATCAACAAGAATAGACCTTTACTTACAAAACATCACACACAAAATGTTGTTTCAGAATAACCTGTTCCTGAAAACATCACTTAATTAAACTACTCAATCACTTCTCTTCATCAGCACCACCGCGAATCCGATTCTGAAGATGTTCCAAGCTAGCCACTCGCGGCAAGGAGTTTGTTCTCCCTATCTTGTTCCCCGCTGCAGTCTTCTGCATATTTTCAGCTCTTATATTATGACTGGACGTAAGATTATTAGAAGCTGGTTGACAGAAGTGATTATTGGAACCTTCAGGCATAGATGCTTCAGCTGATGACTCAGAAGGACTTCCATCAAATAATGACATTCCCATTCCCATTGATGATAACTCAGATATTTCATTAAACATCGGATTCAATCCGGTAAATCTTTTAACCGTCTCTTCAGCCATCTTCACCTGAAATGGTAAACATGTTACATCATTGTCAATAATGGATCTCCGTATTTGAGAGAGATATATTGGCATTCACGCAGTCAGCGCAATAATGGTCACCGATATGCTGACTGCGTGAATTCAAAGTATCTCCACTGTAGGCTTTACCTTTGCTCTTAAGGTTTCAACATCAGCTTTTAATATTCTGTTGTCAACAGCAGAATCATTGTACTTTTGAGTCACATCTGTTAAATTCTTTAACAATGAAGATTTTTCACCTCTCAATTGAGAAACCTAAGATAGAATATTATATCAGAAAAAAATAGCTATTTGAAAGATTAAAATGGAAACATAGATCAGAAAATTTTAACATGAATAATGCATACCTGTGTTTCAAGCTCAGATAAATGCGCTTGTTTTCTTCGTCTCGAACGTCTAGCAGACTCCCTATTAGAGAGCATCCTGAAAGGCAAATTCATTAAGCATTGAGCTCTACAAGCTATCCTAAAGAGCTTATGGAAATAAGCTGAAAAACAGCTTCTCGGCAGATAAACTCAAATAAGTCGATCCAGACAAGACTACTTAGACAAGGTTTGTTATGCAAAACACATTCATTACCTTCTTACTCTTTTTGCATCAGAAGGATTCGTGTCACCATTCATATTAATCTCTCCCTCAGCTTCTTCATCATCTGATGAACCACTTGTTGTTGACCTGATTGAAACAACAGGCTTCTTTTGACCTACTTTCATCACATCTTTATTTAGCAATTTAGATGAATCATTTCCAGAAGGTCCAAGTTCAGAAGTATAAGGTGCATGGGATCCATTGTCAGGTTCCTGAGATTTCACCAAAGATCCCTATTGCCATAAATATCAATTAGACCAAAAACCTATAAAGCATTGACTTAGACACAGACACAACGCTGATACTGACATGTTGACACAGATAATAACATACATGTATTGGTTTCAGACAATAACACGTACATATCAGATGTCAGACACGTCTTTGTTCAAACTAATTAGAATTATAGAGAAAGAGATATATACCCGAGACATGGCGACTGCGGCGCAGGCGAGATCGAGCTTGGTTTTGAGAATAGCATAGTAATCCTGAGAATCGTTGATATTATTATCATTACTATTTTTATTGTTATTGATTTTGAGTTTGAGATCAACGTTGGAAGAAGAAGTAGAAGTTGAAGTTGAAGATGAAGAACAAGGCTTTGCAACAGAAGTATTTGCAGCTTCTTGTTCTTGTTGTTGAAGAAACTGTTGAAAAGCCCATTCAGAATCACTTCTATTCATCTTTGATTCTCCTTCTTTACAAGCCTTAGAAGTTAACCAATATTGTTCAGTAATTTCTGCAATTGAAAACACTCTTTCCATTCTCTTTTTCTCTAAGCTTTTTGTTATCACAATGACACTATTATAACAGTGTTGTTAATTATGATTCTTGCATAATAATTCACAATGAAATTTGAATCTTCAACAAGATTTTATTACCATAAATAAATTGAAATGTGACATGGAATGACATGGCAACCTCATCCTTATCCATATAACAACCTTTTCAAACCAAATTGTTTGTTGGATAGAATATGTCGTTTTCATTCTACCAATTTGTTGTTGTTAATATTATTATTATCTATTCTTGGAATCAAATCTATATATACGATGTTTTAAAGACTGTATTTTTTTTATTCCAAATTATATTATTTAATAGACTAGTGGATTGGAATATTGGATTGAATAAATTTGGGGAAAATATTATTTGATTACATTATTTTAAATTTATTATTTAATTTTAAAGTTAAATTAATTCCATCACCTTTTTTTTTAAAAATTTTGAATGGATTTATTTTTTTGACTTAATACCTATTTTAGTCCCTTAATTCTAGTGTTTGTTTCACTTTGATCCCTTAAGAAAAAAACGTTACATTATAGTCCACTAACTTATACTTTGTTATGTATAGTAGTCCTTTCTGTTAGTTTGGGTTGGGAAAACATTAGAAATTGCACTACTGGACTTTAAATGTCTTAGGTGGATATTCTGTAATTATTTTAATGGATGAGGTGGATTTTGTATTACACATAACATTCATTTTAAGGAGATGAAACGTGTTAGGGTGTGATAACATTGTTGAATGAAAGCTCAGGTTCAGACAGTAGCTACATTGTGAAGAAGAACACTAGTTTGAAGACGAAGTTCATTGAAGACGACGTTTACGACAACACTTGTTTGAAGACGAAGTTCATTGTTCGTTGCAGAAGAACGAAGAAGAAGAACTTCATTATTTCACTCGTCTGCACAGAAAACCCTAAGGTACGAACTTGCACAAATACGATTCAAAAAATGTTAAATTTATTATATACCACACTTGCTTAGTACTTCTGATGCTATATGTAGGTTGATTAGGTCATGGAGATTAGGTTTAAGTGTGTTGTTGATCATTATGGTGAGTTTTCTAGGGAGTTTGCAAATTTTACCAAGTCAGGTTATGTAGGGTTATAGGAGATATGAGATGTTGATCTTGATTATTGGAGTTACTTTGAAATATTGGACAAGTTATGAGAGTTAGGTTACCCTACTATAGATAGGCTTGGTATTATGATGATATGATTGCTAATGATATAGTTCAGTTAGAAAATGATAAGGGGACTGATAGGATGAGAACCATTGCAGTGTTAATTGAGGAATGCCATTTGTATGTTACACATCTTGTATCTGAATCTGATGTTATTGAAGAGCCCATACTCTCACTACCACATGTGAGCATATTGAGTGAAGATATGTGTGGTGAAGGGCCTGATATGGATAATAATCAATATGGGACCACGGTGGCTGAGGACGGGGTTGGTGAAGTATATGAAGGGGGAAGTAATGAATGTGGGACTACATTGGGTGAAAATGTGGTGGAAGAAGGGACAGGAGTTGATGAAGTTAAGGAGAATGTAGGGATTGATGAAGAGAATATTGGAATTGAGGAAAATGTGGGTGATGTGGGGACCAACTATGAAACTGAGATGAATGTTGGTCAAGATAAGATAAACTATAACAATATGGATGATGTGGGGACCACCTGTGAAATGGAGGAGAATGTGGATGTAGGGATGAATGTTGGAGGGGATGAAATCAATGAAAGACTGAAATGTAACCAAGAACAAGATGAGGTAGTTAACTGTAACCAAGAAGATGGAAGTGATGACAGTGCTTTGAATGTTAATTTTGAAGACTTAGAGAATGACATAGGTATTGATGGAGTGATAGCAATTAATGAGGATGAAGTGAATGCAACAAGTAAGTTGAAGGGAAAGGGCAATGGGAAAAATCATAGGAAAGGTAAGGGGAAAGGTAAAGGGAAAGGGAAGGCTGCAAGGACAATTTTTTCAAATGCAGGCCTATTATAGGATTAGATGGTTGTTTCTTAAAGGGATACTATGAAGGACAAATACTAGTTGCTATTGGTAGGGACCCAAATGACCAAATGCTTTCAATTGCATGTGTTGTTGTTGAGGGTGAAACTAAAGACTCATGGAGTTGGTTTCTAGAGTTATTGATACTTGATTTGGGAGGAGTCAGGGTGTGTAAAACATGTATCTTCACTAGTGATCAACAAAAGCTTAGGTTTTAAACTCTCACCTTGAAATGTAACTGTTAGCCAATTGTTTTATTTTCACCATCATTCTTACTTATTTATGGATGCAGGGTTTGCTGTCAGCTCTTGATGAATTACTTGGTAATGTTGACCAGAGATTTTGTGTTAGGTAATGTTTACTCTCGCCTTGGTAATGTTTACTGTCAGCTCTTACATATTGAATATGACATACTTGGTGTAGTAACTTACATATTGAATATGACATACTTGGTAATATTTACACATACTTTATATTGCATACATTTGTATAGTAACTTCAGGAAAAAGTTCCATGGCTTGAAAGTAAAGGAGCTAATGTGGAGGGCTATATGTGCAAGTTATGTTAATGCTTGGGAGTAAATAATGCTTGAAATCAAAGGAGTTAATGAAGAGGCCTTCAAACACCTCATCAAAATTTCACCAAGATTTTAGAGCAAATCAAGGTTCCAACCAAGTTCAGGTTGTGACACTTTGGTTAACAATATGTCAGAGGCCTTCAATTATGTATTTGTGGCTGCTAGATCCAAGCCCATTGTGACAATGCTGGAAGAAATTAGAGTATAAATAATGCAGAGATGGGAATCCAATAGGCAAAAGAGCACTAAATATGATGGCATCATACTACCTAACATCAAGAAGAGGATGGAAAGGGAGTCACAAAAAACCAATCATTGGATTGTGAGGTAACATTACTTTCAAATGGCTAACTGTTTACATAGACTATCATTGTTAATGATTACTTGTTTACAGTCGTGCATGTGAATATGACTATGAAATGAGGCATACTTCACTCAATGGAGAAAAATATGTTGTCAACCTTTACAAGAAAGAATGCTCATGTAGACTATGGATGCTGGTTGGACTTCTTTGCTATCATGCAATGTCTTGCATGAAAGATCAACATTTGGAGATTGATGAATTTGTACCTGACTGTTACAAGAGGGAACAATATGTTACTTGCTATGCACATGTGATATATCCACTTAATGGGGAAGCCTTATGGACAAATACTAGTGTTGTTGATCTTCAACCACCACCAATAAAGAGGCAGCCTGGAAGGCCAAAGAAAAAAAGAATAGGGAAGCTGGAGAGATGGTGAGGGATGAGACACACATGAAGAGGGCGAGACATGGTATAAAGTGTAGTCGTTGCCACAAGGATGGTCACAATAAGGCCACTTGTAAACTACCACAACCACAAGCTAGTTCAAGTCAGGTACAAGATGCAACAAGTCAGCAACCATCACAAGCTAATATAAGTCAATCATCACCTGTTGTAACAAGTCAACCACCATCACAAGTTGTTACAAGTCAACCACCACCACCTGTTGTTACAAGTCAGCCACCACCACAATCTGTTATAAGTCAACCACCACCAAAACTAAGAAAAAACTTCATAAGGGTGGCAAGCCTGTTTCAAGCCAACCATGATCAATATTATTATGTCTACTAGGATTTTAAATTGCCAATTAATGGTCTGACTCTTTTATTTTTGTTAATTCACTTTTTGGAATTAAAACTGTTATGTAATGCCTTATAATGGCATTTTGGTTTTGAACTTGTTATGTAATGCTTTACAATGGCCTTTTGGTTTTTGAACCTGTTATGTATTGCCTTATAATGGCCTTTTTTTATTGAACCTGTTGTGTATCAAATATTGAATCTGTTAATGAATGTTGGAATGGTTATTGAACCTGTTATGTATCAAACTTTGGAACATGTTTTGAACCTGTTATGTATCAAACATGTTATTGAAATTGTTATGTATCAAACATTTTATTGAACCTGTTATGAAACAAACATGTTACAGTTTGTTTCTGTAAATATTGGTCATTGAGCTGCATATTTTACAGGTTGGATATTGAGACATTATTCAATGAACCTGTTATGTATCAAACATGTTTCAACAAGTTATATTATAGTTTATTTCCACAAATATTGGTCATTGGGCTGCATATTTTACAGGTTGGATATTGAGACATTATTCAATGAAAGTTTATTCAATGAAAATATGAAAACAGAACACAGACATTATTCGTTGAAACAACATATTACATTATTCATTAAACAAACTCATCAATTTGTTACAACATAACAATACATTATTACAAACATAAAAACATAACTTAGAACTACCTTAAAACTAATTGAGATACATTGTTAAAAACACAAGGTTCGACCTTAAGCTTACAATCCCAACAACAATGGACATTTTTGTTAAGTATTAACAAGTGTGAGTAGTGCGGATAATAGTCCCACATTGGATAGAAATGTGGTGACTTGAGCATTTATAAATGAGAGAACCCACACACCTATCACCTTAAGGTTTTGGGTGAGTATGTGGTGTGTCTCTCACAAAGGTTGCTCTAGAAAAAAGTCCCACTATGTTCAATGCTCCCTAGTTGAAAAATCAAAGTCCAACAGTGGTATCATGAGCCTTTGGTTCGAGTAAAGGGAACGACTTACTTGTATCGAAAGTATCCCCACAAGTTGTGGGTTGAGTGTCTCGTTGAAGAGTGTCAACGGCGGTACAAGGGTGCAGTTGCACAGTTGAAGTTTCCGCTTAAAGGAGAGCATTGTGGATAGACTCACAGCGGTACAAGGGTGCAGTTGCACAGTTGAAGTTTCCGCTTAAAGGAGAGCATTGTGGATAGACTCACACTTGAGGGAGAGTGTTAAGTATTAACAAGTGTGAGTAGTGTGGATAATAGTCCCACACTGGATAAAAATGTGGTGACTTGAGCATTTATAA